CGGTGTGAGCGTGCGTGTAGACTCGAATATGCGTCGTCACGAGTTCCCCGCCTGACATGGCCACTGTCCGGATCACTGCTGATTCCGGCCCGACGCCGGGCAGGCGGTGACGGAGCCACACACTCACAGGTGTGTACTGACGAAGCAACTTGACCCCACGCTTCCAGCCGGGGGAACCGGCCCCGCAGGTCGTGGTCCTGAACGGCGGCCATGCACAGAGTCAAGGAATGTCTCCGAGGCAGGGGGTCAATGCATCATTATTTTCGTTCACTTTACTAGTCACTGTTCGCTTGCCCCGTTAGGTGTTATCCTGGAGAGCAAGCTCTTACCCAACCCCCCCCCCCAACAAAGGCACAGTCACCACTAGCGACAGAGCTCGCTGCCAGCGCCCCTTAAGGCACCCCATCCCTAGCCTGGTCCTCCCCTAGGACTCAATGACAAGCCCAGAGAACGTCGCCGTGGGAGGTGGAAGCTAGAAAAATTAAAAATAAACCCAGGGACTTCAGGGCGTTTGAAAACAGTCCCAGGACAGAGCCCACCTGCAGCAGGGGGCGCGGAGTCAGTGCCCTGCAGGGTGTCCACTCTATCGCACCACACCCGCAGGGGAACGGAAGCAAGAGCAGCCGTCTAGAGGAAAACAAAGCCGCCCTGGACGTCGACATCGGATGGGCCCAGAGGACGAGAGCGTGTGCTCGCATCTTTAGGGGGCTGGGCAGGGCACAGGGAAGCGGCCAGACCTAGGCCTGTGGTACATCAACAGGCGAGGAGCGGCTTGGTTCTTGACAGGAAAATCAGGAGTTTAATCACAGAAGCAATTTGTGGTTTTCAATGTGGCTTCAAGTTAATAAGCAAATGCATTTGTGCTCAAATGCAATGTTTGTTAATATGCTTACTCAAGTGATGAGAATAATTGCAACCCTTGAAAGAACGAGCCCCTGAATTTGCATATTCAATACTTTATCCAAAAATAGCTAGTGAGACTCCAGCAATACTTGCTGAAGATATAAATGAGCTACATCGCGATGCTGTGTTTTTTAAAATGGAGTTTTTGGAGCGTGTTTTATGACATGGATTCCCATTTGTCATTCACTGGTAAATTTTAACATATATATTAAAAAGTTTTTTTAAAAAAGGGGACTGAAAACAAGAGTTCAGTTCCCGTAGCTGCAGCCCCGGCCCAACGGGTCGACGCTGCCTCCGCGGTCCTGGGGAGGAGGGGGCGGGACGGGGGTTTGCCGTCCCCCGGGGGTCCTGCCGCCGCCAGCTTAGATTCCCGGGCAGCAGGTCTCCTTCCACGAGGACACACCTCCCGTGACCCAGGCTGGGCCCTCAGGACACCCCTCCGGCCCAAGGACGCCTGGGACGAGTGTGTCAGCCCCTCCCCTCACTTGAAAGCATCAAGAGAGGAGCCGCCACGAAGAATCGGAAGAATCGCGTCCGATCTGCCACCTGTCACAGCTGAGACTGGACCCGCCCCTCCCCCGGGCTCTGCCTGCGCACCTTGCGGCTGTGTGTGCATTTCGCCTTCTCCTGAGGGGAGCCGACCCTCCAGGACACAAACGGGGTGACGTCCTCTCTTCCAGCCACGGCCGGTGCGGAGCTTCGGGCAGCCAGACAGAGGGCGCGGCCCAACCTCAGGGGCGTCCCAGAGGGCAAGCCACAGGCTGCTTCGGGCCCGCGACCCTGACGCCCGATGGGACCCCAAACGCCTGGCCTGCTCCCGCCCCGGTCCCCCGCGCTGCGAGCCGGATGGCACAGTCCCCGGGTCCCCGCGAAAGCCGCGCTGTGGGCGCCCACGTGGGTGCTCAGCCTCCGCCTCCAGACGTGGTTTATTTTGGCCTGAGTCACGTGGGAAAAGAAAAGCAGAGTCACCATCAGAAGTGAGGACGTCCCCAAGAAAACATCTTAAAACACCTCTTGAAAAGCCGCGTGAGCTGCCGTGACCCCGTGACGCCGGGGCCGCTGCTGGACGGCCGGTCCCGGCGCAGGTGCCGCGGGTGCTCTGCGGGCCGGCGCCTCGAGGCTGTCACCTGCCCGGTCCCTCGGGGCCCGGGCGCCCATTGTGCACGCCGGCCCAGGCTGGCGGCGCCGTCGGGGCCGACACGCGCCCGAGTGACCAGAGGTCCTGCTCTTCGTGGTCCTCCAACGAGCATCTGTCACCCTCCGAAAAGTCGGAGGAAACCCTCCATATTTGACACAGCCATCGAGGCTGCGCAGGGTCACCACGTACGATGGGACCGAACACTCGCTGACCTCTGACTGTGGGGGTGCGGGCTCGGGGGGACGGGCCACAGGGAGAGTAAAACCCTCAGATAAACCCTAAGACAAGCAAGTCTCCTGAGACTGTCCGAGCCTGCGGATTTCTAACATGGCCAGTCGAGAGTTCTTTTCACCAAACGGCGTAACAACAGGGAGAGCTCTCCTGAGACACGTTGGCTGCGGTCCAGGGGCCGGCCTGGGCGCGCGGCGGGCAGCCTGCTATGCGACGGTCCGAGTTTCCTCTGGATCTTGGGGAAGGCGTTTGTATTCCATTTACTGGGGGTTTCATGTGACCCCAATGTTCCTCCTCGCGGCTACCGTGTATCTGTCTATCTCTCCACCCACCTTCCTGTGCACCTACCTGTGCGTGTATGTATGTGCGTATCTATGATCTACCTCCTACCTACCTGTCTGCTTAGATTTGTACATATTTACAAAAACATTCTTTCTCTTTCTCTAGGAATTTTCCTAGAGAAAATTCCCCATATCCTTTTTGATGCCCTCGATGTTACCAGCTATTTTTCGCATTTTTCTGCAGTTTTATAAGGCTAGGGAAAACAAAAGAACAAGCAAGCATGTTTCTTTTGGAACATTTAAAGACTAATGTAAAATATCACCCAGCAGGCTGTTCAAGTCAGAGCCGTGGGGCAGCAGCCGGGCCGCCCGCGATGGTGTTGCGGGAGTCATTAGGATGGCGGCCCGCGTGCTTCCACACGCCTGCCCACGCCGCCGGCGGGACCGTGCAGAGAACACGTGATGGGCCGCGTCGCCTGTTATAAAACAGGCTGATGCTCTCAAAATAAGGAGGTTCCCCATGCTTTTCTTAAGGCCTGAGTGACTATAAACCTTCGGTTGAAGTGAAATCTTATATTGGTTACAAGTCTTAACTTTAGAAAACCTTTCCAGCTCTAATGAAAGTGCTGGCTCTCTCCAGCTCCTGAGCAAGGACTTAATACCTGCACGTTAAACTCCTTTGCTATAAGACGCAAAACTGATAAACCGATTTAGGTCACGCATCTCCAGGTCTCAGTTACAGGTTTTGTTTAAATTTCAACATAACACCCTGGGCTGCACATTAAATATAAGAAGTGCTTTGCAAATGACAGGACCACTTCATAACACGTGTGCATGTCATCAATATACTTAAAGACTTGCGTTCTGGCAGCCCCATAAACACTGGGTACGTGGAGAAATAAAGTAGTAACGTTGACAAGAGGCCACGCCTGGACCGTTAAGCTCGATTCCTCTGGCTGTTTGATCACACTTCGCACACCTAACTAACCTATTCATTTAGCGACACCCCGTATGACCAAATCTTGTACCTCGACAATTTTTCAGCGGCACACGTTCACCACCCGATCACCGAGAAGACGCATCGATGCTGCGAAGCTGACAACGTGGCTGACAACAGGGGCGTGCCCGCGAGTCTGCCGCTCGCTGCCCGAGTCGGGGCGCCCGCAGGCCTGGGAGGGCCTTCGCTCTCGGGGGAGACCCGTGGAGGCGCGTGCAAACCAGTCAGGGCGTCCCATACGGACGCTGGCAACGCCGCTCCCGGACGAAGTGCTCACAGGTTGGTGTGTCCATCTTCCCCCAGAGAGGGAACTCTTTCTGGGCTCTGAGTACCTACCCCAGCTCGTAAGAGGCGGCACCTTGCACTTTAACCGTCTGTCGCACTCTTCCTGTTTCTGTGGGGAGAGGAAGACGCACAGGGACGGACGCCAGTCACCTCGGTGCCTCTGGGCGGTCACCCGGGACTGTGTGGCTGGCAGTGCAGACAACAGAGGTGCCCGCCGAGCAGGCTGGTGGGCATCCCCAGCCGGCAAGCCCCCGCTGCCGACACACGAAGGCCGGCCGCCCACCACAGCCGTGGCCCGTGACCGGCGCTGCGCTGCACGGCTGGAGGACCACCAGTTGGGGGCTGCAGGCTGCCCGCACCGCGGGCTTCGGATGAGGTTTGCCAGGCAGACGGCTTCTGTCAACAGCCTCTTGGAGACACGCGCTGTCAGCCTTCAAAGAGCGCGTTTCCACAGAGCCCCCGGCGGCTCCGCGCGCCCCTTCCGAGGAAGCGGCGCGCGCCGCTCATGCGCAGTTCGCTTCTTCGCGGCGGCGGGGCCCCAGGGTCTCCGGGGGGAGCCGATGTCGGTCTGTCTTGTTTAATCAGAAACGCCAGCCCTGTCCCCAAATGTTCCCGTGTTTTTATCTTAAGGTGATCGGGTGTTTTCATTCTTCTTATGCCTTTCTGTGATGTCTGAAGCTTTTCAGGGAACAAGCGGTATCCCTGTAATCTGCGAAATACAGACCTTCACGTGAAAAAAAGCTAATAAACATTTTTCTCTTCAAGAATAAATAAAATGACCTCAGTGAGAGGGTCGCTGAGTCTGTACGTAACGAACCTTCGAACGCACCCCTGGAACACGGACGTCAGGCGCTGCGGGCCGTTTTTCTGCAACTGTGGTTTCCAAACCCCTCCAGACACATTTAGTTCCCCCCCCACCCCCCCCCGCCCCCCGCATGGAACCCCGGGTCTCCGCTCATCGCAGTGCAACTCAGCACCGGTCGCCGTGCAGGCTTCTCTTCGCCCAGAACCTTCCGCAGAGTGAAGGCGCCGCGGGGCCAGGACCGGCGTTCACGCACCAGGCCTGCGGACACCGGGCGCGGCCAGAGCCCCCGCAGCCCCCTCCCGCAGGGCCGGCGCGCTGGGGTGCCGACGCCCACCCGCCCCCCGCCCTGCCCGCACATACCTGTAACGCGGGGCGGGGCTGCCTCTGGCTTCGCAGCTCAGAAGGACCCCTCTGTCCTCGGAGCCCACGGGGACCACGCGGCTGCTGGGCTCTCGGACGAACACGGGGCCTTGGAAGGGCGCCGCACCTGCAGGCGGGGAACAGCCAGACACAGCCGGTCAGGGCCAGGACGGCGAAAGGCCGCGCGCCACAGCTGGAGAGGGACGGCGGCCACTGTGTCCTCTGCAAACAGAGACGCCCGCTGCCCCGAGGCCGACGCCTCCCGGGGGCCGCACTGCGTGTGGGCGGCCCCGACTGTGAGCCACCCGGCCACAGGCAGGACGGCAAACGCGGCACCGAACTGCGTCCACAGCAATAAGGCTGCTCAAAGGCGTGGGCGAGGCCCCCTGCATTGTCCCCGGCGCGCGACCTGCTACAGAAGGGCCTGCCAGGGCCCCTCGGCAAATCCAAAGCCAGCCTCACGCCAGCCGCACGCCAGCCTCAGGCCAGCCGAACGCCTTTCTCACCCCATCTGCCTGGCACGCAAGGCCGAAAGCTGACTATGTTGTTTGCCGTGTGGACCTTAAAACTCTCACTACTTGATGGGCCTTCCATTTTATAAGTAGAAAACTGAATGGACGGACACGGCACTGAACTCACGTCCTTTAAAAGTGTTTCTACTTTGGCTGGGAGACCGCTGAACACCCTCCCCGGAGAATTCTCACCCCCCCCCCCCACACACACGTGTGTGCACGCCCCCCTCCCCGTGCTACGGATGTGAATGGGAGCGAGGCAACACGCCCACTGTGTGCGTGGGCCCTGGGGTTGTGTGGCCACAGGCTGAGCTTTTCTGAGAACAAACAAGTTCACAGGGAAGAAAAGAGAAGGTGCCGGACTCTCCTGTCTTAGAGGTTCCGAACCCTGGAGAGGGCCCCACGGAGGCAGAGAAGGAACAGGCAGACCAAGAGGCAGAGCGGGTCCGTCCACAGCGAGGCAGAGAACGGGGCAACCAAAACGGCCCAGGGTCTGGGGACTTGTGTCTTGGCTACTTCAAGGAGCGACACCATTGAAAGCAAACATTCGCCGTAAGAACAGGGGCGGAAACACACACAGAGCCCACGGGCCTGCAGAGCCCCAGCGTCACAACACGAGCGGGTCCCGAACACGTGGGCTGGCCCTGCTTCCGGAAGGAGCCGTCCGCCCGCAGGTGCGGCAGAGGGGCTCCCCGCTGACAACACGCCCCCTCCTTGCCGGGGCGGGGGGGGCGGCGGACTCTGCGCTCGCCCCCGTCACGCGGCCCCGGCGTCTGCGTCGTGGGCGTGCGGTCGAAGTGTGAGCGGTGCTTCCAGCGCAGGGCGCTGTGGTGAGCGGTATTTGACCTCGTTGTTGCCTGGTTTTCAGCCCCTGCATCAAGCTTTCGATGACCTCTCCCCGAGGAACCGTGACTTGGGACACAGGGCCCCGTGTCTCCGTGGCGTGAAACACAGGACAGAACCGTCCTGACCGTCGTGGTGGCGGAGGGCGGCGCACCTCTGTTCAGTCCCCTCGTTTGAGCAAGAAACTGCGATTTTACGTACAACGTCTAAGACAAAAGGCCTTTGTTAATCTGTGCAGAGTGCACCTGCAAAGGGGAAACCAGGGGCTCTGGCGAGGCCACCGGTCAGTCCCCACGGAGAGACCGGTCTCCAACCAGCACTCACCGCCCACTTTGCCCTCAGATGACCACTCACCACCAAGGCGGGAGCAACGGAAACCCTGGCGAAACGAGCAGCCGGGAGCTTTCAAAACCCCACGAGACACAAAGAGCCGCAGTCGATCCACGTGACGTGTTCTCCGGCAGCCGGAACCGCGCCCGCATCAGGCGAGGGGAGCCGCGGGGCTCTGGACTGTCCGCGCTGAAGAAGAGCGGCCCTCAACCGCGAGGCGGGCGGTCGCTGGGAAACGCAAGCGGCCCCGCTCACCGGCCGAGACCTCGGAACTGCCCCGACGATGCCCTGCGTGACCGCCTCCCTGCGTGTCTGTTTGCCACTCCGCTCGGCGAGCTCACACGCACGCACACAACTCAACACCCTGGGAAGGAACAGCGAATAAAGGAACACTTGCTCGGAGACTAAAAATGTCGGGAGCTCCGCTTCAAACACTAACGCCCATACGCCACACGCAGAGCACCCCAGGCAAACGCCCCGGGGCGCCCGGCTGCCCAGCCTGCCGCGCGGGTCCTGCAAACAGCGGGGGGCAGGGAGAGGGCCGGGCGGGGGGGCAGCGGCGCCGCAGACACGTGCTCCCTTCCGAAGGGACCGGGAGTCCAGAGACAATCTCGCTGTGCCTCAGCCTCCTGTGCAGTGATCTTGACGAGACCCACCCCACACACTCGCCAGGAGCCTTCGTTAAGCGAGCACGCAGGTGGCTTATGCCCGGGCTGGCACGGGACAGTGTCCACGTGGGCCGGGCGCCAGTGCCATCGAAGCCGCCTCCGGCCGGTCACACCCACGCGTACCTGGGAGTCAACCCCACGCTGCCCTTCTCTCTGCGATGACATGAGTCTCCTGCCTGTCACGGACTGCGTGCCGGTGGCCCCCACAGCAGCCCCTATGTGAAGCCCTGGCCCACGGTGTAACACTCTTAGGAGGCGTGGCCTTGGTTGTGCTCAGGCTTCAGTAAAACCACGGCGGTGGGGGCCTCGGCGAGAAGACGGCCACGCCGCCGGGCCGAGGGGCCTCCCCAGGCACGGGGTCCGCCGGCACCCGGCGGTGGGGGGGGGGGTCCCAGACTCCGGAGTTAGGAAAGCGGTACGTGAAGGTAAGTCACCCCACCCAAGGACCTCACGGCCGCGTGCTCCTAGGGCGCGTCCAGTTTTGGCATGACGCTTCCGTCCACGAGCTGTGGAGTAATTACATTTTTTTAAATTCCAGCTCAATCTCTTACGAGCTACATGAATTGCAGGGAATTTCCTGTCAGAGGCAGTAACTAACGGGGGCAACGACCTACGGGGCTCAGAGGCGGCCTGAGGTTCTGCACACACGGCCCGGCCAGGCCCCGGGCGCGGAGCCGGGTGCCCAGGCGGCAGGCGGCGCAGGCTCCCTGGGGAGCTGCCCTCCGTTAAGGCCCCGCCGGGGGTCACGCCTCCCCGCCCCCGCACCCCCACGCCACTGTTTCAGGGTTCTCCTCCCTTCACTGTTCCCAGGGGCCTTCTCTCCTTCCTGACGACAGTGCCCCGATGCGTCCCGGTCCCCTCCGCGCCGCGCACCCCGATGCGCCACGCGGAGCGGACGTCAGGGCGGGCCCGCAGGTGGGACGCGGGAACCCGGCCCTGCCCCCCGCGCGGACGCGCCGGGGAGAAGAGGAGAGGCGGGCGCGGGGGCGGGGCGGCCGGTGAGGGGCTGAGGTGCCGGCCGCTCCGGAGAGGCGGCCGGGCGGGGGGCAGGGCCGACGGTGCGGATCCGAGGCTCGGGGGCGCTTCCTGCACGGGCACGTCTGTAGGGCACGTGCTACCGACCCACGGAGGTTCCGCTGTTGTGGCTTGTACGCGTGTGTGCACACGCGTGTGCGTGTCTCACACGCTGCGCCCGCCATCCTCCGTGGTCAGCGCCCGTGCACAGCGGGGCCCAGCCGTTCAGCCCGGCGCCTACGATTCACGGAGACACGCACGCACACACGCAGAGGGCACGTAACACCCTCCCACGTGAGCGTTTTGAGGCGGCTCAGTACTCAGGCAGCCGTCAAATAAAGCGCTTTGAATAAGCACCTTCTTTGCAGGAGCCGGCGAAGTAATCAAAAGGCACTTTGGAGACAATAAGTATTTTAAAAGCTAAATAAAATTGTGGGTTTTACTTAACCTTCTGTATTTGTTGAGCTCTAATAGCATTTCCAATACATACTATTTTTAAGTGCCCCAAATGCCTTTTTAGACACCACCAAGCATAAAATAATCCAACGTGTGGCGTTATCACCGATCCAAGTCACGGGGACAACACACTCCAACCGCGCTCGCCGTTTTCCCCAGGTTTCCGTGCGCACGCTCGGAGCAGCCGTGAAGGTCCGCGTGGGGTGAGCGAGACGCCCGCGCGGTGTCGGGCGCGGCAGGAGACGGCTCTCGCACGCGCACGGGGGTGCCGGACTCGGGAGCAGAGGTCCGCGCCGTCCCACGGGGCCACGCGGATGCGGACAGCAGAGGAGAGGCGGCGGTCACCGGAGTGCCTGTCGGCAGCTGACAGGCTCGGCCACACCCAACCCCGCCAGCACTTCCTCGGTGACGCCACGCAAGGGTCACGCCGGTGCTGAGACCAAGGGCAGGTGCTCTGCAGTTAGTTCAGGGGGAGCGTGGGAAGCCTGTTATCCTCCGAAGCTTCCCGTGGTCAGCCCTGGCCGGGCAGCTCCGTGGGGTGGGCACTGTCCCAAAAGGGCAAGGCCGCCGGCGCAGTTCTCGGCCGGAGCACGTGCCTGGGTTGTGGAAGCAACCAATCGATGTTTCTCTCGCACGTCGATGTGTGTGTTTTTTTTTTTTTTTGCTTTTTTTTTAAAAAATATATATTTATTGATTCCAGAGAGAGAGAGAAAGGGAGAGAAGGAGAGACATCGGTGTGAGAGAATCATCGACTGGTTGCCTCCCACATTTGCCCCCGTCGGGGACGAACCTGCAGCCCAGGCCTGTGCCCGGACCCGGAATCGAGCCAGTGACCTTTTGGTCACAGGACGATGCTCCAGCCAACCAGGCAACACCAGCCGGGCACACACTGCTGTGTGTGGATGAAGCTGAGAATCAAGTCAACCATTTGGAACACAAGGAAGAAATAAGCATTCAATCAGGACAGCAGGAGGAAAGAGGAATTCAAGAAAACGAGGAAATTATAAGGCGCCTCAGGGACACCTCCAAACGGGCCAACCCCTGAATCACAGGGGTGCTGGAAGGAGAGGAGGAGGCGCAAGAAATTGAAAATTTATTCGAAAAAATAATGAAAGAAAATTTCCCTAATTTGGCGAAAGAAAGAGACATACAAGTCCAGGAAGCATAAAGAGGTCCAAACAAGTGGGACCCAAAGAGGACCATAGAAAGACACGTCATAATAAAAATGCAAAGGTTAAAGATAAAGAGAGAATTTTAAAAGCAGCAAGAGAAAAGCAGAGAGCAACCTACAAAGGAGTTCCCAGAAGACTTTCAGCTAATTTCTCAAAAGAAACTTTGCAGACTAGAAGGGGCTGGAAAGAAATGTTCAAAGTGATGAAAGGCAAGGACCTACCTCCAAGATCACACTACCCAGCGAAGCCGTCGTTTAGAATCAAAGGGCAGGAAAGCGCTTCCCAGACAAGGTCAAGCTAAAGGAGTCCATCATCACCAAGGCCTTATTATAGGAAATGTTAAAGGAACTTAGTTAAGAAAAAGAAAAAGATTCAAAAACTGTGAACATTAAAGCGGCAATAAATTTACAACTATCAATAACTGAATCTGAAGAATAAACTAAGCGAACAACTAGAACAGGACCAGAATCGCAGACATGGAGATCCCACGGAGGGTGATCAGCAGGGAGGGGGCGGCGCAGGGGTGAAGCAGCGTAACTGGTCGGTGCAGAACAGACGGGGGAGGTGAAGAAGAGCATAGGGAACGGAGAAGCCAAAATACACATGCATGACCCACGGACACGAACTGATTAAGGAGGGGGCTCTGCTGGAGGGCAGGGGGTGCCAGGCGGAGGGGGACGAGGCGGGAAAAACTGAGACCACTGTAACAGCATGGTCCATAAAATACATCTTTTAGAAAAGAGTTTCATTTACCTGGCTAGGCCCATTAGAAAATTAGAGCTGAAAACAGAACCGCACGCGCGCTGCACCCCGCAGAACCCCCGCGTAGGCGGCCGGGGGACCTGCCGCACCTGCCCAAACCCGAGCCCACCCGCCAGCGTCCGGGCCCTGCCGCGGCGCGGCCTCAGGCGCGCTCACCGCTTCCCAGGCGGGACCCAGGGTCACCGTGGCCTCGCGGCCCTCGGGGGCGCGCGGCCCACAGACGCGGCAAAGCCTGCACGAAGCGGCCAATCCCTGTTCTCTGAACGTCAGAGCTGCCCGAGAGGAACGCAGCCCAAGCCCCACCCAGGTCCCTCTACACGTTCGAGGGGCCACGTTCGAAATGGTTGCAAGGAACAGGTGAAATTTACTTGACTATTTTTATTTGACCAAAGAATATCTACGATACTATCATTTAGTCAATGTCAAATTGAGATACTTTAGTTATTATTAACATTTCTGGAAAGAAGCCTGAAGTTCTGCATCCATTTCACACAGGCAGCACCTCTCCGCTCAGGCCTGACCGGCGCTGCGGCCGCCCGGGGCCGGCGGCTGCCCACAGGGCCGTGAGCGCCGAGTCTCGGACACGGCTGAGCAGTAACCAGCAGGCTGCTGAGCAGGAGGTCAACGGCCGCCTCGGGTCCGTGATGGCCGCCAGCCCAGGCCTATCCCGACGTCACGCCTGGGAAAGGACCTGCTGGGGCAGTCAACACCGGTGGCCAGGGAGCTGCACGTGGATTTCCCAGACAGAAAGACGTCCCGAGGGACGACAGACCGAGAAAGCTCCGGAAACTCATAGACTGTTTCGTCTCCAGCACAGAAATACCTCCCTCGCCGGGCGTGAGGAAGGCAGATGGGACGAGCGGAGCCCCCCGGCCCCGGGGGCAAGCGGAGGGGCGTCCGGTTTCACCCCGTCCCTGTTCCTGGCTTTACTGCCACCGCTGGTGGTTTCGTCCCCCAAGGAAGGCAGGAAACACAAATGACCAACACGTGCTTCACTGGCCGAGTGCACGTCCCTGGCTACACACTGCTTCACAGACGCGCGAACAGACGCCGTGTCCGGGCCCGGCAGATGCGGGGCCGCCGGGGCGCGGCTGGGAGGGCAGGGACGGGTGCGGAAACATTCGCAGGTGGGATGCGGGCATTTCACCCGCCATGCCCAGTGCTGGGCTCGAGCGTGGCACTGTTACGTCACAGAGTCCCACGCTTACGGTTCCGTCAAAAGACTTTGTAATAAAAATGGGGGTGCTGTTTGTGCCAGGCCCTGTGCTTTCACTTGCCATGTATGATGAGAACATCCCTACATCGTGAACAGAGTTTTAACTTTAGTACATAAAAAAAGGGCCCCATGGGGTCCTCGGAATAACAAGCCAGCCTTTTAATCAGAAACTGCTGCCGACCCAGCAGGACGAGTAGGTCCAGGATGTGAAGAGCGGAATGTAATCAATACTCTAGAAAATTGGTAAGAGCCACATCCTCCTCCTCGTCATAATCACAGAGTTCACCGCTTACCAAGTGATCCCCCACAGGCAGCCCGCCAGGCATCAGCCGAGCCAACTCGCCCTGATCGACCCTTACGGCTTTTTTACCAACATCTCCAGAGAATCAAGTTGGCCTTTCCAGTTTTTTTAAAGATCATACTTATTTGCTTTCAGAGAGGAGAAAGGAGGGAGAGAAACATCCATGTGCGGTGGCCTCTTGGGCGCCCCCTACGGGGGACCCGGCCGGCCACCCAGGCCTGTGCCCTGAGTGGGGACCGCACCGGCCACCCTTCGGTTCTCGGGCCGGCGCCGGTCCACTGAGCCCCGCCAGCCGCGGCGGGCGCTGAAATGTGTAAGGGGGAGAGGCGATGGCTTCTATGTCTTACTTTCAAACAGATTTCACTCATCCACCAATCAGTGAATCAATGGGAACAATACACCCACGTAACGATGCAAACAGAACAAATACGGTAGAACGGCCCAGTAGGTCAGTCTGAACGGTGGCTGTCTGGGTGTTCAGGTGTTGCTTACGCTAGTCTTTCAGATTTTTAGATGCTGGAGGATTTTTACATTTAAAAAAGAAAAACCATAAAATAAACCAAAAACCACTATCTTTTTAAAAAATTCTCTCATACACTCCTCCACAAAACAAAATGAACAAAAAGGAAACGCGTCAAATGATTTAATAGTAAGAGCCGCTTTTCTATGGGAGACGCCTGGAAAATTATTCCTTTCCTTTCTATTTTATCCTAAACTTCAAAATTACCAAATTAACAAGTAAAAAGCCTCTGCTTATTTTTGTTCCCTTAAATAAGTTATTTGCTTAAAGGAAAAACTGTGCTGCTTTCTGGGTTAGATATGAAAATATCGACATTCATTAAAACTTACAAGCTCCCTTTACGCTAGAGATAAGTTTTACCTCCCTTAGGAAAAAAAGTTATCAGTTAACACCCTCGAATTCCGAGTAAGTGTTAAACGCTGCAGAGGACGTGAGTATGAGGGGCCATTACATTCGCTGTGGAAACAAGACGATCAGCCAAAATCAGAAGCTGAAACAGGAATCTGATGGGCCGAGCAGAGAAGGTGAAATTTTTTTTTTCTGAAAAAATAAAAATGTGTTTTTCTTTGCTACTGGTAGAGTATTACTTCAACAATTAAAATTATTGACTGTATGACTCGAATGCAGTTCTAACCTCGACTTAGAACACAGTTCACTCTTACCTCCTAGGCAGCCAATGAGTGAGAGTAGGACCAGCTGTTTCCATGACAACATCATCTTTAACTGCCCAAAGCAAGGACCACTCTTGTCCAGTCTCCGATGAACAGGATGCTTTGTCTTCGGGAAAATCCCTTAATCTGTAAAATATATGTACACAGAAGTCAGACTTGAAAATGAGTTGCCTTAAAAAACAGATTTTCTTCTTTTCATAAAACTGTAAGCCACTCAAAATCCTCCAATGAAATGAATCTTTTTTTTTTAACGCAAAAGAGAAGATACACAGAACACACTTTATGTCGCTGGCAGGCAGATGGAAGTGGCTTCACAACATCAGAAATGTCCGACAATGCTAAGATAGTAAATATTAATACAGTAAATATTAAAACTTAGGCTAGACAACAATTACAGAAAACGAACTATAACCCTGAAGCCCTAACGTACCTCATCTTCTCTAATGACGACACCTTGGTAGAACCCAGAGAGTCCCACGAGCGGACGTCCAGAAGCGCCGCTCCCTGCGGCCGCATCCCTGACCGGGACCGCGAGCTATAAACGTCACGTCCGACGCTCACGGCCAACACACGGACTCCACGCGCCGCGGAAACCACCCGAGCGCTCGCGGCGGAAACTGTTCGGTCCGACGGTCTCGCAAAGGAAACTGCTTTGCTTTACCTTCCGTTTTCACAGTCTCCGTGCGCCGGCCTAGGGGAGGGCATCCTGGGGGCAGGCTGTGTCCTTTCCAGCCGCCAGCCACCCCGCCGCCCTGCGTGGCTGGCGGTCACGCGGACCGGCTCGCTGCACCCCGCCCGGGCCGCTCCGACGGCGACAACAGCAGGGCCCGTGCGGGCTCGGCGGCCGCCGCGGACGGGCCGACCAGGCTGCGGAGAGGCAAGGAGAGCGAGCAGCTGCCCGAGGACGGCGGATTCTACACACAGGCCTGACCTGCGATGGGGCGCATTCAGTCGGAACCGCGCGTCCCAAATAACCCCGTCAGAAGTGAAGATAGAGCAAGGCCCCCGTGATGTCCTTCAAGTACCCTCCCACACCAGTTGTTCCCATAGTGACGCTGTTTGCTCACCTGCGATCACACACACGCGGGGGGGCCCTGCGGTCGGACGTGGGGTTGGCAGCTCTGACCCCCGCCCCCCGGAGCCTGGGACCAGGCCTGCGAGTCCCCTCACCACCGAGCCGCCAGGACAGGCGGCGGGTGACTCGGCTCCCATTACGGCCAACGCCGCGCCACAGCCTCCCGTGCCAGCGCGGCACCCGGCAGGAGCACAACAAGACCGCCAGGGCCCGGGGGGTGGGAGGGAAAGGCGGGCGGTGGCTAAGGGAAGACGCACAGCCACCAACGGCGGGGACTCGAGCTCCCCCCCCAACTCTGCACCTGCAGCCTCAGGGCCACCCAGGCCTGTCCTCAGCTGCCCACAGGTCTCCTTGTCACGGGGCAAGGGCTGGGGTGTCCACACGCCGGCCCTCTAGTCACCGTCAGGCTGGAGGCTGCCCTCAGGGCCGGTCACGGCCCAGCGCTGCCTTCGGTGAAGAGACGCACACGCGGCCCTGTGAGCGGGCGCTGGTGGCGTCCGTCACACGAGGCCCGTGAAACAGGCTGGAAAGCTGTTTGCAACGGTGTCGCCGGCACAGAGGCCCGATGACCGAGTGCTCCTGTGAGGGGAGGAGGCGCTTCCGGCCCAGCTGCTGCACTCAGAGTCGAGCAGACACTCGCAGAATCACAGTCTGAGAAACGACAGGCAGCCTGTCCGGTAGAGGAGAAAAACACACACGTTCTAACGTTCTCGTACATGCGCAGACGGGCAGAGAAGCTGCGTAAAGTTTGCAGATTAAAAAAACTCGTTCAGGAATATAGTGTTTACCAGTCGCGCTGCTCACGTTTCACCAGCGCTGAGGAGGCGCGGACTCCCTAAGTCACGAAGGCAGTCCATGCCGTCGCGACCTGGCTCCTCGGCGCCGCCGAGCACTGCCACAGAGCGGGGGCCGGTGAAGGCTCGTCCCACTCCTGAAACCGCCAGGCTGAGATAATTACAGGCAAAGCCACCGAAGCAAGACAAATACAGATCAAAATGTCATCAGCTCAGAACGGACATTCACTCTTCAGGGGAACGTTTTAAGTCAAAGAAAAAGCGGATACCCTTTGGAATCTTCTCTGCTCACACATCTGCATCGGGGCCAGAGCTTCGTGCATTCCCGGCACGTTCCTCCTGGCCGCCTTCAAACAGCTCGCAAGTCGAGTGCGGATTGGCGGCCGAGCCACCTGTTCTTAACGTCGGCAGCGACAAACGAAACGCGAGACCTTGGACCCAAAACCACCGCGGCTCTAAACACGTCCAGGTTTGCGGCCTGTGTCACGTACATTACAAAACTGCTCCAAAGATGCCAGGTCGTGAAATACCGCTGCGCATTCACCCTGCACGTGCGCGGACAGCTCGGAACGCAGCCCTGGCCGCGCTCGGGCGCGAAGCTCCGGCACCTGTGGCGAGTCCGACGGAGAAGCGCCGCCCGTGCGGCTCGGCCGCCGCCGGGCCCGCGGCAGGGCGTCTGCTGGGGGTCCTCCTCTGCCCTGCGAGGCAAAGGCTGCGGCAGCTCTGCTCGGAAGGATGACCTACCACACGGCTCCGCCCCAGACCCCACCCCTGCAGAGACATTGTCGCCCCCACCCACAGCCCGCCCGCACCCCGCACAGCCGCAGCCCGCACCCTCGGGCACATCACCGAGGCCCTTGCCGGCGCAGGGGAAGAGTCGGGCGCGAACGGGTGGAAGCTTCACGCCCGGCGCCGCGTGCCCCCGCGTCTTCTAGCGCGTATCCAGCTCCCCGGCGTGAAGCACGCAGATGACGGTGAGCTGCCGTCCCCGCGGAGCACGAACCGAGCACGACACACCCACCGTCTTCGTTCACGACCCTCTCGTTCGTCCCGCGGCGCCTCTCCCGGAGACGCTGCCCGTCCACCCTGCCCACGACCCCCGTGTCTCCCTGCTGGGACCGAGCCGGCTCAGGACGAGGGTCACTGAACGCTGGGCTCCCAGAGTCCAAATGATGCCACACGCGTCCCCCACAGGTGACAAGTGAGGGGCAGGGAGGGAGCGGGGACTGGGCGGGGAGCCCATGCGAGGCCACCATCCTCCCCGCCGCTCTGTGTCCTCGATGGCACAGGCATGGAGGGACCGTGCCGTCCCTCACCTGCCGCTGCTGAGCACAGCCCGCACGTCACCTCCCTGCCTGTGACCCGCCACGCTCCCCGCACCTTCCCTCGGCGGGAGACCGGGCACCCTCCTCTGGACGGCAACCTGTGGGACCCAGGGCCTCGCGGGTTCAGTCCCTCCGGAGAGCCAGCCCCACTCCCACAACACGCAGAGCGACGCGAGCTAACAAGCTCGGTGACATGCAGCTTGGTGACGTGTCCTTCTCCCTGGCACTTCCCCGAGGAAACAGGGAACAATGAGGAGGAAGGCAGGTTTCCGCCCCTGCACGGCTGAGGGGCTTTCTCCCTCCTCCCCCAGGGCAGGCCCTGCGCGCCAGACCCGCTGGAGTTTTAAAACAGCTTCATCGCCTCGTAGGACCTAAAAGTTCCCTGCAGAGACAGTGTCCAACGACGAGGTGGCCAACCGCACAGGGACGGCCGACGGCCGGCTCGCACGGGGGGCGGGTTACGCGCGTCGGCCTGACCCCCGCCCTCTCGCCAGCCCACGGGGGCTTCTGCTCCCGCCCCCGTGTTGTGGATAAAGAGGCAGAGACACAGATGGCACAGGAATCCCCCCAGGGGACGGGCCGCAGGGAGGCGGAAGCCTTCCGTGTCTGCATGTCGTGCGGCGCCCAGGCCGCGCCCAGGACCACGGCCGCTGAAGCCAACGGTGGCCTGGCTGTCCACGGGAAGCCGCCGTGGACAAGTACTGAGCTGAAGTAGCCGGAGTTTCTTTCTGTGAGTGGTGGTCCCAACAGTGTGAAAACCACAAGAGGCAGCATCAGTTGCCGCTAAACATGGTGTGTGTGGGGGGAATGGATAAACCCAGATGTGTACACACACACGGTTGTCCGGCGTTGGAGAAGGGCCTTGGTACTTACACCTTGTCGGCCCTCAGCGCGCCAGCTGCAACGCGGGGCGGGTGCGTGTGCCCAAAGCTGGCTCGATGCAGGAGCCCGTGACTCCGCGCGGAGCCACCCCTGGTGTGCAGGACGCGGCAGTTCCCACCGTGGCCGCCAGAAATTCAGCGTGATCGGCGCCCTGACCAGCGATCAGTCAGACTTCAAGGAGTACTGACTTCAGCATCGGCCTCTAACTCATTCTGAAGAGACATCAGCTGCTCCTAACACTTATTCTGCATAAGTGCGTGTTTAAAAGTTGCTTTTTATCACAATGAGTGGAGTGATTTTGACACTTTTGGAACCGCTAATCGTAGCTATGAATAGATACCTGCCTGGAATTCACACCTATTCAGAGCTGCACCTCCATGTGCAAAACATCCACTTTATCAGCTCAGAAGCGTGAATCTAAATTGAGGCAAACTGTGAACTCACACCCACGGTACGGATTTCAGCTGCGGAGGCAGAGAGAGGAAAAGTCCCAGCGCCCCCACGCCCCCCACCTGCGTTTCCATGCAGGTAAAAGCAATGCTTCAGGTGAAGCCTCTAAACCCCACGGGATGGGGGCTCAAACTGCCTGCCTGTGTGGAATGATCTGGAACAAGCGCACAACCCAAACCACAGGGAGGCGTGAGGACCAGAGGCTACGCCGTCTCACTCGGCCGGGGGTCGACCCACGGAGCCGGGAGCCCCGGACCGCCAGACACTCGGACTTTTCAGAAGAGCCCCGACATGCAGTTTTATGAGCGCGCACCCCATTTTCAAACGTGAGCCTGTGGCCCAGACGCCATGTGTGGGCAACCGAGATGCGGCCCGTCCTGAAACTGCTGACCGACCAGGTCCTCCCTGCATCAAAAACCGGACACCGTGGGCCACGCGGCGGCCCTGGAGCAGGCACACAATGCCGCACTGGGAGCACCTCGAGGCTGTTCCCCGTCTTCTCCGGGGGCGAGGCTGCAGG